CCCAAACATAATGATGCTGGAACGGGTGATGCCTTTCGTAGGTGTCAGGCACGCATACTGTAGTGGCTTTCCCAAAGATGAACCATCAAGACATCGGACTTCTACACACTCCCTCCATCCTTCAAAGCCCTGATGAAAAATATCAGTGGCTATGGTAAGCCAATCCTGGAGTAGGGGAAAGCCATCGGACGGCTTCAGCAAAGTCATTGCCAGGAACGGCACACTGTGGAGCTCCGCACCGCCGGTCGCCTCAGAGGTGCTTGGAACTTGCCAGTGCCAGCTACTGCTATAATGACAAGGCATCTAGCTTTTACCAGTTCAATTCTGAGATCAGCTGGGTGGGTCAACTGGGTGGGTCCAGAAGAGTCACCTGTTACAGTAGGTGTGAGTCTGAGTTAACTGAGAGGCTGGAAGGATCACTGTAGAGACATCTGCTGCAGTTCCAGGGGAGATCCCATTCAGCCATGTGCTCAGCGGCTCACACACAGCAGGACCTTGCTTCGCCAAGCAAAACTGCATAGGATGGTCTCCTTGTTCTGGATCGAATCCCCTGGCGAAAGGCGCTTGTAGCTATCATACAGACTCTTGGGTTTCCATTGCACAGTGAGTTTCCAACCCTCCAAGATTGGCAATGGGAACCTCAAACCGTTCAAACGACATGAAGGGAAAGGATATGAAGGGATGTAATGAAAAAACACAATCATAGCACTTTGACCTGAATGACTCACTGTCTAGTTTGTGACTGCAAGAAGACTGTGTGGGTGTGAAGCCACAAAAGAGCTGCTGCTGCCAAGAAAACAGTGTAAGGAAGCTTGAAACACTATATTTGGGACCTGCTTAGTGATAGTCCAACTTGTTGTGAACTGGGTGTCAGCTCCCAGCCTTGCTTCCTCCAAAATGCGATCGGCCCAAGGATGGTGGTCATCGTGCTTCGCAACTTTGAAAGCACGCCGCAGAGCGGGGCCAGAAGGCACCAGTCTTTTAGTCATCAAGACCAGTGCGGCGTGCAACGGGTGCACTCATGGAACAAAAATCTGCAGTAAACTATCAACATACAATGTTACAAGGTTCCAACATCAACAATGCTCCAGCACATGGCAACAATCAGTGTGAGGGTCATGGAGTCATGCATGTGAGAGCACTTCCAACAACAGTTGTGTGTTCCGTCCAGTGTTTTCCGATTTCGAGAAACTGGGATTGCCGTAGGACCTAGCATTGAATTTTTTGAAGGCACCAAATTGCCTTTTCAGCTGCCTTTGTAGCTATGATTTCTGTGCATCAAGTTCCAAAAGCAGTCAGCTGATTTGATCTCGAATTACGCTAGCTAAGCTGTAACAGCTGTAAATGCTGTTGTTTCAAATCTGTTCCAAACCCAACACACACGCTAAAATGATGCAGCCCACTGAGGGCACATTCATAGCATTCCCACTCATGCACACCTGGTTGGTCTCTTTCACAGAATCCAGCGCCAGCTGTGGGGTGCCAGCCCATTTCGCCTGGGCAGGTGTTGTGGGCAAAGTGTGAGATGCCAGCAGCTCAGCTCCGGTGAGGCAGCGCTTGTGTGCCTGCAAGGCACAATGGTTGGTTGGAGTGTTTGACCTTTCCAGGTTCAAGTGTTTCGGGCAATTCATCAAACACAACCCTTTGTCAAACCAGTCTCAACACAAACACTGATTGACACTGATTCTCCAGTCATGTTGCGAAACTGTAGAGCTTGCCAGAGTTCGTCGTCAAGGTGGGAACCGCATTGTCAATAGTTTCCCCACGACCGCGGTTGTTTCTCGCAAGCTGCGATAAGTCCACCATATGCTTGTAGCGCGAGCCCTGGTAATCCTTCAAGTTCTGATCCTTGAGCTCAAGTTCTGGAAAGGATATGAAGGGATGTAATGAATCGATGTGTGTTCCATCTCTTCCATCAAAACTATCACAGCAGTGGACAGTGGGGTGGTTGATTTGTTGCATGCCCCCTTATGGTGGGAAACTGCTTATCCCATACCACCAAGGACACCTTGAAAGCCTTGAAATGTGAAAGTCTTCATGCCATCATTTTGCAACCTGGTGTCATCACTTCGAGAAAGATTTTGAGGAGGCAGCTTCTTCCAGAAGTAGTCTGTAGATTGAAGTGTGACCTGTGCTGTCACTGAATCCATGAAGTCTTCCAAGCAAAACCCTGGCTTCCAGCGAAGCTTGGATCGGCGAATGGCGATGATGTAAATTCTGGCTCTGGCAACGCCAAGGCCGAAGACCCGCGGGTCCACCTTGACAGCTGTGACTGAGAAGGCAGGAAGGGCATCCTTCACAATTTGCTCATCATATTCCGTAACATTCTCGATGATGTTGCAATCTTGATCCACCGCTATGTTTTCAAAGAATGAAACATGTGTTGCAAAGGATGGGTCAGCTGTCTTCTTGCGTCGGCCCATCATTGAGAACGGGACACAGATCGGGCCTTGGGCAAGGATTGCGGTTGTGAACGCTCGGAAAATCTTAGAAACAACAAACAGAAAAACTGAGGTGTCAACCTGACACATTGACTTTGAGCCCTTAGCAATAGCAGCTAGAAATGTGGGAGAAATAGCAGCAAGATGCAATCAGGTTGAACAAATGCTTTAAGATTCTGAATCAACATGTCTCAGCAGCATTCTAACGTTGTTCAGCTGAGGGTCGTTTCTGTCCATGCCTTTTCAGCGGACACATCTTCTGGTGGGCAAGGCAAAAGGTTGACCCTTTGTTGCGATCGATCTTCAAAATGTCAGGAAATACACAATGCTTGCCACCTGTCACAGGCCCATACGTCTTTGAAAGCACTGAACGGCAGGGCTCGTTGATTTCACAGCTGGAAGTCAGAACCACATGGTCCCTCATGGCAAGTTGATGTCCGCCATGTGATTGCAGAAACTGTTTCGCAGCTGACTGAAGGCTGAGAGCAGCCTCAAATGGAGCCACTTTGACTAATGACATGAACTTTAATTAAAGATCCATTGATCTCAGGCTCTCACCATTTCTGCACAGCCGACGCCACTGAAACACGTAGAAAGGAACCAGCTCCAAGAAGCCAATGCCTTGCGCACAAAAGCTTCCCCAAATCTTTTGGCTGCACTCTGCATGAACACAGAAGCCCATTTGTAAGTAGAGCGGAACGTCCGGAAATTCACAGGATGCTTAGCTGTGGCTTTGGGCACATTGGTCTTTGGATAGAAAGTCCTGCACACAAATCTGGTTGAACTGGCATTTGCTTTGAGCTCTTGGAAAATTGTGCAACAATAGTATGTCCTACCTCTTCAGAGAATGCTTCTTGACAGTTTTGACGCTCGTGGGCCTGATATGGTTGTGGATCTAAACACACTCTCAGTACATACAACTTTGCGTTAAGTATCTTCTGTTCCTTTTGTGTTGAGTGGCAAAAATGGACAACGGATTCTGCCTGCAGTTCTTTGGTGGCTTCTCACGAAGCACTGCTTTGATGGCATCTCGAAGGCATACCATGCCTGACCCTCAGAAGGTGTGCAACAAGATCGGGCCGAGTCAGGCACAAGCACTTCCTTGAACCACAGTCATGAATCATTGACAAGTATCTCAAAGGAGTAACAGCTGCAAGAGATGCTGAATATTAGCAAATCTCTACTTGCTCGAAGCAGGCAAGCACACTTATAGTATTTTGTCCAACCATGATTGAGACATCAGTGAAAAGATCACTGCATGTCAACTTCCCAGTCTATCTCGAATTGGTGCTGTTGTCAATTCCTGAAAATTATGTTTCTGCCGCTCACTGAGATTCCGCATCGAAATCTTGGTAGCTCTTGTGCACCTAGCAAGGCAAATTGTGCACAAGCGTTGGGGTTGCTTCGTGCATTGGATCGGCAAGAATGAATAACTATCAATCAACAATCAAAAACTATCGAACAGCTTAGGCCTCAGGACCCCGTCCCTCTACCAGATTTCTCTGGATACCAACCTGGCTCATGAACAAACGTTCAGGACTCCCACCAATTGTTACACTCATGAAAACAGTGTTCAGGAATCACACCAATAGTTACAAAGATCAAACATGTTCCAAAAAGACACTGAATTCAAGTCCAGAAAAAGAGCCTCTGTGCCACGTGCATCAGTCCAACGTGGCTCGGACTCTGAGGTAGAAGATGGCTGGGAAGTGAATTGGTCCGGAAGCCCATCTTTGGACTCAACCTTGTCCACCTTGCAAAGATGTTACAACTGGTTTGGGTTGAGAACTAGATTGAGGTATCATTGATTGCATCCTTGTTTTGATGACTTTTGATGTTTCTCGACAGAGTCTGGCCCAACCTGGCCTCCACCACCAACTTTCTCCTTTTAGAGATTCTCCTCAAAGGAACCTGTTCACAAGATGCCACATGATTGATGTGATGATGTTTTTGTGCGACATAACGAGTACATAATAAGTAGTGCTTGTTTCCTGAAATCAAATCGCAAGAAATCTGGCCTGGGAATCCTGGTCAGGATCTAGCTCACTGTCGTCAGACTCCCATGAGGGAGAATAAGCAGTGAGCCACTCTTCTAGGGTCACCACAGTCAACACCTTCCGTGTTATGATGTCTAGGAAACATTGAAGATGAACTGAGAAGGTCAAGCAAGCCTTCTCGGCGGGCTCGATGGCATTGCTCATCAGGAACAGGAAGCCAACGCCTGTCAATCGAGAGCTCATTCTGCCATCAACTGTGTGGAACTCAAGTGGACAAGACAAGATGGACAAGAACTGACCTCGGATACTAGAATGATATCATGAAAGCATGTGGCCTCCAACCACCTCAAAACATTTACCACAAGTTTGAGAAACATGATTGGTTGACAGATTTTTCAAGGCCTTCTCGAGGTGTAGGTGACCCAAGCAGAAACCAAAAAGCTGCAGGAAATCAGAGAGATCACAGTTTTGACTCGACAAATGTACGAAGCCAAAGCCGGTGCTTGTCACACAGGATTAAGAACCATATGCTTGCATACTCGGTCGAATACTGTAAGATTTTTCAGCGCTGCAAGACTGCGCTGAAACGCATCAATGGTGCAAGGGCTGTCAACGCAGATGGTGCCTTTAGGTCCACCACGATTTCCGGAACAGGAGGCTTCTCAAACCAAGGAAGCCGAGGAACTGACTGAGGGGGCTCATTGTTGCAAATCTTCAAAATGAATTCACAAGCCCTTCGTGTAGACTCATTCGGCTGTTTGCGAAGCAAAAACTTGGCAATCTCAAGATAGCTTTGCTTCTTGGATTTGAGTGGAGCTTTCAAGTCCCTAGGCTCAGACGGGCACGGTCCGAGGAAGGCCAAGTACCGGTGCGGGAAGCAGAGTTGAGCCTCCTGTCATGGAAGAAGCAGCTAATCAACCCATCATAAATCACGAAACAACATGATTGGTAGATTGGTATCATATAAGTCAAACATAATTCACCAAAGTCCTGGCACATTGATTGGTCGGCAGCGAATCTCTTGACAAAAACGATCACATCCAGTGGGTGGGTTTCCCCTCCAGCTCCACGCCCAGTCTCGGAAATGACAACATTGTGAGGTAGGTCTGACAGGGAATTTAACATCAAACAGTAGCCCAAAGCAAAAGGAATCTGTAAAGCAATGACTTGGTTTCGGAATGTTTCGGAGTTGTTTTTTGCTGTTGGTTTCCAAAGAGCCTCGACGCAACATGAACATGAAGCTGTGCAAGCCAGTGCTGTCGTCGCGAAGGCCTCCCTTGAAGACCACTGGCACTTGGTTGAACCTGAGCGGGCTGATGAAATTGATATGGCACAACTATATATAGAAAGTGCTTACTTCACTGAATTGGTTGAATGCTTGAACAGGAAAACAGTGTTCTTGATTTGCGACAAAACACCAAGATTTGAAGTTTCTGACACCACTGATATATTCTACGTCGATGACTGCATCCTCGCCCAACCATCCCCTTATACCGATTCGGTTCAGCACTTGACGAAGCTTCCTCGGGTGTGGTGGGTTGGCCATTGAAACGTTGAACGTAGAACAAAAGAACAGAACACTTTCTAGGTGTTGAGAAGAAGAACACTTTCTAGGTGTCAGCGGGACACAAATAGTAGTTGAGCGCCTATCAATAGTAGTTGAGTGTCTCACACACATCTTGTTCATCACACAAGATGTCGATGTAGCGGAAGGAAACCGCCAGCAGTCCGAAAATTTGGTCTTGGCTGTCAATGGTTCTTTTCAATTCAGCAACACACTACCACCCAGTGATTCTTCAAACAAGTTTGTGTCATGTTGTTAGTGCATCCAAAGACCTAGCGGACCGTGGGTGTGACCCACCCTTCCATACATCACTGAACTCAACCTCATCTTCTGCGTTGTGACAACGAATGATAGCCATTTGAGAATCGAGTTGTTCTTGTTTTCCCTGACACAATTGTCAGCCTTAGTTTTGGGCAAGGATTTGGAAAGGGCATGTTGTTGTAAATTGCAAGTTGTTTCATTCAACATGTCTTTCTTTTTGCGAATCCAGTAGCCCAGCACAAGAGCTGGTCCGGTACAGGCTTGTTTCTTGCTTGGCAAAGTGCGACAGCCTGTTCTATGCTCCTTGTCATGGTTTCCAAGACACTCGAAGCGTCAGCTGGTAGACGCGGATCTAGCAGCCATAATTTGAGGAGTGTTCCATGCAGCCAGCAGGCCTGTATTTTAAACTTTGGCCGTTGTGTGTTGCTTAGGCCCTTGGGCGTGACGTTTGCACGATCTCTGGGTATGCTCCACTTGGCCTGGTCCATGCCATCCTGCTGCCAGCAGGCGCCCGGTTTACAAAGATTTTGCCATTTGCAGAATTCAATTTATGAGTGAATCAAGCACATGATTTCAGCCATGAAACCATATGGATGCAAAGAGGAGATCCGTCGTGCTGCAAGGGACACTGCGCCTGAACATAGCAGTAACACAGAAGCAAGGTCCATTTAGCAAGCCCGCCCCAAAGTGGCAACAGCAAGTGCACTAGTTTTGGAAGGCAGCTGTCAAAACAGGTAGCCAAACTTTCAAGTAGCCTGAAGGTACTGCTCTAATTGCCGGTCTCGCTTGATGCTGTCCACATGCTCTTTGTACTCTTTGGCCACATCGTAGGCCATTTGCGGAGACTGGGAAAGCAACAGTGGGCCCACATGATGACAATCACTGGCTTAACTTTACCTTAAATACTTGATGTTTCAATCCTGGAAGCAAGACACCTTCGCCATCTTGAACAGCTCCTTGAACTCCAAGCAGTCGTCACAAGCGGCGTGACTCGAAGCAGGACTAAATCTGAGCAACTTTGACCAGCGTCCCTTGAATCGCCGCCAGAAGTGTATGTACCTTTGCTATTGAAAAAGGAATGTCATACAACAAGAGTCACTCACTTGACAAACAACTTTTGCCATCATATCAAAGAAAGATGAGGTGCGACACTTGGACTGCTGGCCGCTCATGACAAAATTGATGCCAAAGCATTTTGATACTACCCGGCTGTAAAACCCTGGTGGGTAAGGATGTCAGCATAGTACAGCCTGCTGTTTCTATATACCTGATTGAACAGCAAATAAATTGACAAGTTCATATGATATTCATGTGTACCGGCGCTGCAACATGCACATGTTTAGTGCAAGAATCTTCGAGTAGTAGCTGTTCAAACCCAATGCGTGCATTCTGAGTTCTTCATCATCCTCGATCAACTCATGCCCAACACACAGAGTCTCCCCAATGTCGTCACTCTCCACAGATGCATCAGACTCGAAGCCTTCAGAGGAGTATGACTTGAGAGTATGTGCTTCACAGCATCGTTTTCAGTTCATGGTTTTCTTGTGATTTCGTAAAGCTATGCAAAGACATGACCAAGTGAACCAGATTTGAACAGTGCCTGGGTCAGGCTGCGCAAGCTCAACTGAAAGCTTTTCAGGCTGGGATCTCAGCGGAGTGTCTCGCTGATGAGCTGCTCGTTGGAACCTGTCGATTTGTTTGCTCGGAGAATTCTTGGGTTTGGGGTTGAATCTGAAAACCAATAGCCAGATATCAACCAACTCATGTGCCAAGAGACTTTTCTGGAAGCATTCCTGCTGCCTTGTTGTAAATGTCAAATAGAAACAGGTCCACCTCCTTTTGTTTCCTCCCAAATTTATTGGATCCCTTGGTTGCAGAATGAACGAAACATAACGAAACAATACAGGATTTGACACACGAAGTTTCAACCTGCAAAAAAACAAGACGAGGCACGCCACCCCAAAGTCTATAGCGGCGATCGGGGCCACCAGAAATGATCCGCTTCATTCTCGAGTTTCCCACACCGAGAACAGCAGTGACACACTTTGGTGACATTTGGTATCCTAGCAAATACCACTGTCTCCGCTGCACCGCCTTGCCTCTGCCAACGACTTGCTGGACCTAGGAAGAAGGGCTGCCAAAAATACACATTTCCAAGGTCATCAAGTATCGAAGGGAAAAACTGAATCGAGGAATATCGAGGAAAATGAGGTCCAGGCAAAGAGGTCTTGTCTCGGTCTGGACATCTTCCAGAAGGTGTTCATGACTGTGCTCAGTAGCTCCATTTTCTCTCCCAACCATCTGAAACAATTCTTCCTATGGCACCGGCAGTGGTGGAGATGCTGCAAATGTTCCAACCGAGCTGTAGATGCACCGTTCACACTCTGCCTCACACGGCAGTCGCAGCACAAGTTTGGAAGTGCAATTTGCAATCACATGTATATAGCTCGACAAGTTTGATTGTTAGCAATCTGCAAGACAGTTGCTGGCTAGCTACTGATGAGTCTGTCGGCCCTTGGCCAGTAATCGTCTCTGCTGGTTGTTGTAGTTGGGGCGTTTATGGTGCTCCAAGATGGCACCCCCAACAGCTTTCTCTTTGTCCAGGGCTAGGTCCACATTCACATCAGCTGTATGCTGGAAACCACGCAATCCGTTCATTGTAAACTTGACCTTCACTGATCCTGCCTCTTCTGGCTCTGGCGGAATGGTCTGTGGACACTGCTGAGGCTTCATTGACTTCCAAAAAGCTCTTCTAGTGCCATCACAAGCCGTGCTATCACGAACTACAGACACCGTGTTGTTTTCAGATGCATTGCTTCTGACTGGGACTGAGCTGCTTGCTGATGATGCAATTGACTGGCGTCGAAAATACCTGGCAGTTGTCCAACTGCTTTCGCAACAACAAAGGGCTACCTTTAGTTAGTGACTTTAGTCTGAAAGTGTATTGGTCAAGCAAAATAAATTCTTGGTATAAACTTGGTCCATGGCTGTCGCCGCTCCATCAAAACTTGCCCTGGCCAAACTCCGAGCCTGAAAAGGTCACAGGTAGCAAGACCAAGAGGCTAGAGGTATCTAGAGGTATTGAATGAATGCCAGGCTCAGGAACAATCTAGACTGATCAACCCTGCATCAACCTTGTTGCAAGCTTTGATGTGCCAACATGTGCTTCTGAGGTTTGGTCGTCAGCTTGGGCGATGGGTGAGGCAGAGCCTACAAACTGGGTTTTTTGAGCGGAATGGAGCCACTAATAGCTTAACCTCTCACTGAATTTTTTACTATAAAATCTAGCAGGGCCACGTTCCCTCACAGTTTCATGAATGTGTGTGAAACTTCAGCCTCTGAGATGACGGTGGCTACCAAAAGCCAAGCTCCCTCAGTGTTATTTACCACCCACATCAGCAGCCAACTGTTTGACATAGGTGACTTTGAATATCATAAATGAACATGTCGACCATTCTCAGACTTTGGCCAGGTTCATGCCTCAGCTGAGAAGTTTCACCAACTCATAGCGGTGGTTGCATTGTAGACACTCATAGACAAGCCAACTCATAGACACACATAGGTTAGTCTTTTGGGGTCCAGACAGGGCAGTCTCCGGCAATCGCCAGCATTGCAGGGAAAGCGTAAGTGAATGTAAGTGAGCTGATACATGGACTATCATGGACTATTGGTGAAACAATGTAAAGCAATGACAAGTGGAATTCCTGCAGTGAATGTTTCCGGAGCACAGTGTACAGAATCAGGTGTTTGCAAGTTGAAACACAGGGTAAGGGATGCTGTTTCAAACCTGCTTTGGCTTGGTGTCCGGGGGAGTCATGACATACAATGATTGACCAAGACCAATCTTCCTCAAACCAAGCTGAGATGAACAAGTTCAAGGCCAATCTCGAGATCAAACACGTGCCACGCTGAAAGCAAGCACCTGTTGAAAGCAAGCTGAGTGTGTCGCGACATGTCACGACCAGTGATGTCGAGCCTGGAAAAAGGGTTTGCAGCCACCAACTACAATCAGCTAGCTGGACCAACTACAATCAGCTAGCTGTCCATTCTGCCTCTAGGGCACTGACTGAGAAGTGAAGGTGTCCACATGAAACCATGGCCAGAAGGATTCCTGCAAATAAAGCAGTAGGCCAACAGCCTCTTGAACTCTTTGAATTGCACTCCCCAACCTCAGTGATACACCATGAAGACCTGCAAGCCGGTGTAAGCTGAGCAGAAGGGTAGAATGGTTGAACTATGTTGAACTACAGAGCTTCCTGGCCTGCAACGTAAGGGGGAGGTTAGCAGACAATACGATCAA